GGTGCGCGTCACACGCGATGGAAACCAAGAGGAGTGAGACCGGTAATCCAACAAGCAGGAAAACCTAAATCCATTAACACAGCAAATCAATGGCCCATAACTATCCAGTGACGTAAGCACAATTGAGCAGGTGAAATGGTGAGCATTTAATTCCCACTTTCCCAAAATTCGTCTACTTTTATTTCTGTACTTTCCCCTTAGTGTCCATTTTCACCAATCAGCCAAGCCTGGTCAACCTTCACTCTTGAGTCAGAGGTAAAAAACCTCACAAATTTCTAAATTATTACTTGATCTCTAAAAGGGGATGGTTCCCAGCCTAAGTGCAACTCAATGGAACGTCCTTCTTCGTTTGAATGTGACTCAATCCAGGCGCTCCCAAATGGTTGAAAATTACACGCCATGTAACAGGCAGTCATGGGAAGTCGGATAAAGGTCTTGTGAAGAGCATTCTGGCGCGGAAACTCGTGCGACAAAACGTGAACGATACTTCTGAACATCGGTAGTTCCCGAAGGGAGAATTGCTGGCGGTAAATCATCTTGTGATGCCGTTCAACTGAAAGGGCTGCCACATTTTGTTTCAGTTGGAACAATATTCAGGATATGCACTTTTTATGGGGTCGACGAAGGATTTGAACAACCCAGAGGGAAAGATAACTTACAAGCAGAACTGACGTTTTCACAGACTGGTAGGTACTGAGAATAAAACTGGAAGTCTTTGTCTTGACTTGCATTCCAGAGGGCCTAATTAAAGGATTATTGGCACATTTACCGATAAATTATACCAACTTAATTGTCCCATATGAATAATACTCATGCGACCTACGTTTCTCCGCATTGGAGCAGCGAATACTCCCAACAAAAGTGCTTTTTGGTTGTTGATCGACTTGCGAACGTTTCATCAACATACAAGGAAACCTCATCAGTGTGCAGATGGGTGGGTATCTTCTATTTGCCCGCGTGCGTTTATATAGCATTTAGAGGGTATCTGTTATCTCCTAATGTGATTGGATAGTTGGCTGTCAGCTTTCTTCCTGCATTTATTGGCCCTTTATGAATCTGTGTTGCGTTGTGGTTGAGGGGACGCAAACCACCCGAAACCAAAAATTTTGGCGCATTTCTAATAAAAACTGTACTTGAAGGTTTATCGTCCTCAGCAGCGCAATATCAGTACCCTTTATTTTGTCAAAACTTGATTCAACATACTTGGTGCTAGACACAACTCTTGTTGCACAGCCACACACACACTAGCTTCCCGATTGTGGGTTCGCCTGTAATAACCTGCATAAACCATGTTTCTGATACAACCGTTGTGACAGCTTTGAAAACGTCTTAGTCTCACTATTCGCAAAAGTCTTATCTCACCAGCACACGGCAAAATACCTCGCGACATGGCCTGATTTAAAACTCCCTTGAGATTCAAAGATGTAATTCTCGGCATAGATGCTACAAATTAATGAACGTGACCCCAGTCTTGGAAGTTGTTGTATTGACTTTGTCGAGTTTGTTTTGTTGTCCAGTCGATTAGGAATGTGACAAAGAGTGGAAAAACTGAGTATTTTTGTCGGACATCCCTTTTGTGTGGGAGATTTTCAAGAGACTCGTGTATTGTCGCTCGCCTACAGGACAGACTTTGGGGGATTTTTGTGACAAGCCGATGATCGTGTAGCTCCTTGGCGCGGAAATAAAACGGTCAAAGCTAAGATTGTCTTTGGAGGTAAATAGTTGCTGCGAGAAATTGTCGTTGCTGAGAATTTCTTTGTTATTCCTCGCTTACTAAAGTCATTCTTTCAAGATTTGAGATCAGGTCTGTTCAAACCGTATTTCAGCTGTGCGCTGGTTAGGAAAACCAACTAACATACCTGGTCTATCGAGCCATTTTCTCGTACGCACACCTAAACACCAATGAAAAGGGGATACAGAGAAGCAAAGTTTACCGTTAAACACCCCTGAAATTTATTGTCTGAACCCTAAAAGTGCACTAACTGTGGGTTCGCTGCATTCTACCCCCACTCCGTACGGTTCAAAATCGCACAAGTGGCGCAACATTTCTGAGTCATTCGAGCGGCTGTCTGAACCCTAAAAGTGCACTAACTGTGGATTCGCTGCCTTCTACCCCCACTCCATACGGTTCAAAATCGTACAAGTGGCGCAACATTTCTGAGTCAGTCGAGCAGCGGAAGACGTCTTGTTGTCTGCTGAAATCCATGCTCACCAACTGCATTTTGGCAACTAGATGGGAGCGCAGTAAACAGGTTTCAGCTTACCTCAGTTCATTATTTGGTTGATTATTTAGCTGTTAGTTAACTGATTCTGATTGATCAGTACAACGCACCACACTGCATTCTTTTTTCAGCATTCCGTTTGTAGTGCTTCACGATTACCTAAATTACGTAAATACAACTGGTTAAATTACCCAGGCAAATGACTTTTTTTGTCCTAAATGGAAGGAGCCGTTTGCCCCCCCCCCAGCGTCAACTTNGAAAGTCACTTGTATCCCCGTGAGCAAAAAAACAAAGTCTGAAAATTCTAAATCAACTCACACTAGGCTTCACGAATTAATTTTCACACCCATTTTTATGTCTCACGTAGCTGGATTGTTACTTCTCAAATCAGAACATCAACAGGTTGAACGTGAATTGAATATGGTTCCGACTGTGTCACTTCCGGAAACAGGACCTTTGAACCTTCTTAATGAGCGTTCTACAACCCTGTGATTTTGAATTCTAACGCAAATTTTCGATGATCTCCGATGCTCCCAGCTGACAGTCCACAGTAAGTTTTGATCAGACATCCAAAGGTGCTCCTACATGGATGGCGACCTGTTCAAACAAGGATGTGAACTAATTTTACGGTTGCTACTTTAGTGAAGACCTGAAGCGACCTTGTTCCATCAGATATTGTATGAACGTTGTGTTGATGGAACGTATATGCTACGCCACTAAAGGGCATATTACACCGTCTCCAGGCCTGGGAATTACAAGGGTGTGAAGAACACTCCTAGGACAGGACTGAAAGGATTGGGGATAATTCCGTGCGACCGTTTCATGTAGTGTTCCGGCACGTTCTGCTCACGGTCTCGTTGGTATGCAAAAGTCCTGCATACGGGTTGCGGAGCGGTATCAGAAACCTGATCTCCGGATCTCTCATGAGTCCATTCTGACATAGACAACTGCCAACAGATAACAAATAACTCGATCGTTTGCAGGAATAAATCAACCATTGTTGATGGCAGGGAGACAGAGGATTTCATCAGTGATGTTGGGGAAACTGCTGGGCTGTCAAAACTCCTGACGATAAACTGCATTTTGCACAACCGATGACGTGTCCAAATAATTCACGATCAAACCTGAAAATAGACCGCCAAAAGTTAGGTAGTAATTGAGCTTACGGGAAGGAAACCTGCGAGAATACTGAATCCTATTTCGCTAATTCGGTTTCACGGGGCGAGGTCCCTCAAGTGGTTAGAGCGCATGGTTCAAACCCGACCTCTGCCCTTCGGCTTCCCCTGTCTAGTATTTGTCAACCTGGCGGTATCTCCACCCTCGTGCTTCATTCGGATGGCACTGCAGCTAGGCACCGAAAGGGTGTTGCAGCTGAACAGAAAGAACCCGGTTTCGCGTAGCGGCGCATTGACAAGTATTTCGGTTTGGTCGGTACGATCGTCAAGTAGCTTGTGGTGCTGGACGAAACATTAATAGTTCCTTGGACGATTGATTAGGTAACCAAACAAACACTGAATGAAAACTTGATCTCTGATGTACCAAAACATCGAGATTTGCTCATTTCTCTTGGCGACACAAGTAGTATGACATAACGACACCAATGGCTTAGACAGTTTCAGTTGACCGTATGCAGTACTGAGGTTCCCGTTCTTTCAAACCCACCATGTGTAGTCCCGGATTTTCCTGGTACCTGTACGGAGAGCTTACCTACGCGCGATACAGCAGCTGTGCACCGAAATTCAGTACCAGCTGAAAAAGTATACCAGCACGCCGAGCGAACACCGACCATTGTTATCAAAAAATTGTGTGGATTAGCGCTGAGTTAATGTAAGTCTGTCTCCCCCAGTATTCCAACTTTCACCCGGAGCTGCTTTCCCAAAAAGATTTGCGTGAAGCTACTCACAAGTAGGCAAAAAATAAAAGCATATTGGATGAGGTTGGCTGTGTGTGACGGACTTGATGGTCTCTGATTATTTTTCCTCCATACAGACAAAACAGAAGAGCTACTTCAGTCGCTGCGAAGTAGTTTTTGGTGTTCACGGAAAAACTGGGCTTGGTTTCAGAAGCGTTGAATTTCCTTCTTAACCGTCTTTTTGCCTGATGTGGATAAGTATATTGAATCCGGATAGAAATGAGAAGACACTTGAATTGAGTTAAGCCAGGACTCAGAAACCGCCGATTCTGTGTAGTATTAGGAGAATCAGCTCCGAACAAAACTGGACTATATAACAGCCAATGGAATAACCGTTTTCGTTGAGACAGATTTCATTGGTTGTTTTATCGCTCCACCTTGACAGATGAGCTGTTTTCTTAGTATCACTTTTTTGACCCGCTTGTACGCGATAGTGATCAACAGATCAGCCGGTTTGCATGTTCACTGACTTTCTCTGGTTTGGTCAAGCCCACCAGGCTATCAATCGGCTATCCAGACCGGGGGTCACGATGAAAAGAAGGCATTAAGGAGGCTGGTCCAAAACATGTGGCTTTACGGTGCGGCGAAAACATGACTGTCAGAAGACTGCCATCACTTTATCCTGTTCGAATATTGTGATATTCTGTTTACAAGCGTAGGACCCGAATTGGAGCAGTGATAAACCTCCCAAATCTCGCATATCTGTGATGTGGCTTGTTCGTACAATTGCTTCGACAGGGGTCCACAAAAAGCAGCAAAGACGTTTCGGTATTCAATTTATCAGCTACACACCGTAGACGAGGGCAAGTTCAGTTTGTTCGGAAATTGGGTAGTTATGCATTGAAGGCTTTGATGCACGAGCGCCACTAACTGCGCGATTGGGCCATTTCCGCCAATGTCATTAACCGCTGGTAATTTGAGCCTCGGGGTCCCCATCCAGGGAGGCAGCAGTTGCCCTCTCGACTACGTTTACTGGTTAGGGTTTTTGTACTTCGTTGCCGGGTCATATATTGCCCATCTCTCAGTCGCTTCCACTCAGCACAGGGCTCGGAAAAATGAGCTCTCTGAGAGAGAGGGTCTCCGACATGCGGAGCACATGTCCTAACCAGCACAGCCTACGAAGTGTGAATAGTTCACCCATTGCGGGAGAGTTCCTTCTTCCTAAGACCGTCTGGCGCATCTCAGCCTTACTAATTCAATGTTCCCACCAGACCTGACCCATAGTTCGGAGACCCAGAAGGTCAAACACTGACATCTTACGTATGTCCTCTGCGCGTAGGGGCCACGGTATTCAGCTTCATCGTTGGAAGTGGGCTGTCTACGTTTAGGGTATTTACTAATTGTAGAAAGTTCAATGAGCAAAATATTCGGGTTTGCACTTTGATGTTTTAAGTAGTGGGTTATATCCTTTGTTGAAATTTTAAACAGTGAGGTGGTGCTTTTTTATTCCAATACAAACGCTACGATTTGTGAGCAAATAAAGAAATTACCTTTAAACCAATGAAACAAGCTTCTTGATAATACGCAAAGGAAATAACTGTATTTTCATGTATCAAAATGAGAGATCCTCAAGCAATATCAAAGTGGACATTCTATTTAAAACGATAGTTTATCTAGGTACTAGTCTGCGACCAGAAATAAAGAGCTCATTCCAAACTATAGTTTCCATGTCCATCATAGTAGTTAATGAAAATTCTCCCGCGCTGATTCACCCTCAGATATCGATTAATTATGAATTGAAACTCGCGTGCTGGATGCCAAAAACTGAGGAATTCTCCGCCACCTGACCGACACACTAGCACCTGGCGCTTGCCCGTTTTGGCCTGTGAACAATAGAAAACAAGTTTTCAGAAAAGGGTGATAAAAATCGGTAGATTTGTTGCTGGGCAACGTTTCGATTTTGACACAAGAGCTTCATCAGGCCAAGTGACTAACTTACGAGGTTGTAAGGAGAAAAATTCAGCTAGGTCAAACTGTGTAAGGTGTCGGCCAAGGGATCAAGGTGGGTCATCAAGTATGGAGCTGATGTCGAAACCTGCATGAAACTAGGTTCAGGTTAGAGTTTACTTGTTCGATATTATCGTAACCGCACGATTCATTCGTGCACACCAATCGACATACCTTTGGTGTCAGTTTTCTCATTGGTCGATTTTCAACGGGCGGTATCACCTTCTGCTTCACAGACACTAAATATCGTAAGAAAAAATTGCAGGGTCATTCACATTTCTGAACTCAGAACAGCAAAAGCAATCATCATTAAGTTGTATGAACGAAAAATGATCACCGAAAAAAGTTTCAAATAAACTCGTGCATTCTTTGTTGGTGAAACCTTGTTTGAGAAGACCAAACAAGGTGGCCTCCTTGCAGAGTTACTTCCCCCTACATGAGATCTCATCAAGAAAGTAAATGTGATACGTTTTCCTGACATCTAAACTAATGGCACTGTAGAAACAGTTTCTGTCATAGAATAAGATTAGCTCGCCAAAGTTGCTTGAAAGTATCTAAAAACGATCCGATGGTCTGACGGTGTCATGTCCATGACAAACGCTGTTCGAATCTAACGGCTCGGGATTGCTGGAAGGCTGCCATCAGTCACAATTTGGTGCCATTTCCCGCTGGAGGCTGAAAGATATAGTCTTAGACACACGGTAACTACTGTTGTCACCGTGATACTACTGATGGGGGAAGCATGCGAGTAGTAAGTTTTCTTCTTGTAAATTCGCTTTGCGACTCTTGAAAAGGGACATCTATTGCGGAATTTGTGGAGTCGCTTTGTAGCATTTGCTTGGAGTTGAGCAACAGTCAATGAATATCCAGGAAAGTTCAGGAAGGCGCGTTCAGGAGAAGATGGATGTTCAGTTTTGTAAACAAGATGCATATGAGAGTTCTGCTCCTCAGTCCAATAGTCTGTAACTGGTCAGTTGGTAATTTCTAATAGCCCCGCAACGAAGGCCCTCTTCCTTTCTAACGGCTCGGGCTTGCTAAAAGGCTGCCATCAGTCAAAATTTCTTCCGTTTCCCGCTGGAAACTGAAAGATATAATCTCACACACACGGTCCTTACCATAACATGGTCCTTGCTGTTAGGTAATGCCAACTACTCATTCTTACCTGGACGTTTTTTCCGTGGAGGAGGCTGAGTACGTTTCATTCTGCATGCCTTGGAACAGTAGTAGACACGTTTGCATTTCGCACAGGGGGTAAGGCGTACTCCCAGAGATCGACCGCATCCGTAGCAAAATGGGTAGAAATCATCACTTGTGTGTGTGTAAGAGAGAAGAAAGTTGTTGCTTTGTGGCAGTGAACAAACTGAAATGGCATCGATCTAAAAATCAAACATGCAGTTTGTTGACATCCCTTGCAGTGATCCCTGGACCAAGGTTGAAAGTCACTAAGCTAACCAACATATACGCCGTCTGAATCCAAACTTTTATTCGAAAGAGGAAAGCTTTAGGCCTTCAAACAGGAGGCCTACTCAGGAAATGTCACTCCAGAAGGCTTTACCAAACTATTCTACAGGAAGAATGGAGCTAACATCCCCTGGGCCGCACGTGAAAGATGTGTTCGCAAGGCACTGAGTATGATTTTTCCACGTGACAAACCACTCACAGCTGACGGATGGTCATCATCGTGATTAACACCTCCAGAGGGTTATCTCCCATAGCTTAACCGGTTTTACATTCTGGTAATTTAAACCCTACCGTTATAGCACTGGACCTAAATAGTTCTGAACTACGCGTTTAGGGGCATGCAAAATGAATGGCTACTCTGAGCCGACGCTTAGCGTTCAGCAACCCAAAATCACAACGGCACGACTGCTCAGTTCCTCTGAAATTGCCTAGAGTGAGTTACTGCTTGACATTGGTTCTCGTGACAGCTGAATCCCTAAAGTAACCCAGCTGGCAAAAGCAAGATATTTTGGATAAAACGGGATTCCCGATTATCGCGGTGCTCAAACCCTCCTCCCTCGAAGGTAAACGAAACAAACCATTCCAAACTATTAATTCCGTAAGTTGTGAATCTACATCAAACGAGCTGAAGATATTTTAACCAATAACACTACAACTATAACGGCACATCATACTACTGATGAAGCATGCGAGCAGTGCGAGAAGTTGTCTTTCTTGTCCATTAGTTTGTTACAGTTTAGTTGTTGTTTATTAGCAAACAACGTGACGGAAGGCTTCTCTCCTGACACCATTGGTTTTGCCCTTTGTTATCCCAACACAACCTTTGCCAAGCTCATAATCCTTGGCATAAAATTGATGACACTGAAGTATGCTGCCTGACAGGGTGTAAACGAAAGATTTATTTCTTATTGAACAGAGTCCTCTGCTGACGTCAAAGTCATACGTTAATAGGTGTATGCCTTCTGCGCGTTTTGTTGATTTCGGATAGGATCGGGAACTTGATGGCCATATCGTCCATAGAACTCTACATGGAAATGTTTAATGGCATCCAACAAATGTGAATGAAGCAGAGATAACACGCTCTTCTCGCACGACAGCTGTCGAAGATTCATCTCCCGACTCAAACAAAAAAGCATCCGGAGCCAGGAGCTTCTTAACTTTAATGTGGTCAAACCGGAACGATTACACTAAGATGGAAGTACTGATATGGACGAAAATTCGACAAGTTCAGAGGCTATCTACGACATATTTCAACACAGCTAACAAAAACGCTATACGCACATGCTATTCTCTTCACTTCTCATTAGCTAACGTTCACTCTAACTGTGCTCACTGCCAGCTGGGTGAGATATTACTAGTCAGATTCCACGTCATCCTTCCAAGCATTATCTTTGTAATATGACTCAAGTGGACCATTTGAAAAATGGCTCTCATAGAAATCGGTTCGTCAGGTAACTCGCAGATTACTCCACTCTTCTGAACTCACAGCCCTCGCCTACTCAGGTGCTTCCCGCAACAGTGAATAGTCTCACTTCATAGTAATCAATTAATATATATGCTATACACCATGTAGCATGGGTACACTGGTAAAATCCGCTACAGTTTATATCACCGGAAAATGAGAGAGCAGAAACGGTCCACATGAAAAGGCGGAGAATGTTGGTAGCTCACCAAAGGGGCTGGTTGTCCTGGTAGAACCTTATTTTTAAAACTAGTTAGCCAGTAAAAGGCGGACTGAACTCGCGGATTTTGGGATTTAAATCCGGATAATTAGTTAAAAATCTCGCCTCTAGGTGGCACCTACGATGATGGATGTAATCCAGTGTTCATATTGTCCAACTCGACCTCATCATCAGAACAAACAAGTACACTTAAAAACCTTAAAATGATTCTGCAGTAAACACATGTGATGGGAATAAGTAGACTGCAAGAAACTTACTCTTGTTCCGTAGGTGTAGAATCCGCTGAAACAGAGGATACCGTTGGTCATACACTCCAGTATGACGGGTATATGCGATCCATGTAATTTCAAGTCATAACTTAGAGCGCAAACTTCTGATTTTACGCTTGGAATATCGATATTTTAGTAGACATTTGCCGCGGACCTAGTTGCGGGAAATGAAGGAAGGCTCTGACGTTGCCCAAAACTTGTCAGTACTTTCATACGGAGAGAGAGATAGAGAGAGAGAGAGACTGATGTTACTTGGAGCGATACCGTGGACAGTGTCCTACTCGTCGGCCTATCGCCTTTCCAGTTTTTCCACTATGATCCAACGACTAACGGGTTATCAGTAGGTGAATAATTTCCAACTAACCTAGGAGCTGCTATTATCGAAGGTCGATGGAAGCGGATTAACTGCGGAAACAACATATCGATGCATTACGGTCATCTTAATAAACAATATCCCTTGGCCGGCAACCCACGCCGATTTGGCCTGGCTTGGATAACTGGTTCTCCTTCCGCCCTAAATCTTTACGAACCTCATCACCTGGTTTGACGAAACGACAGTTTCGTCCATTTTTGCGTCAAAATAGAGTAGGTGTTTTATGGTTCTTATACGCTACAACACGTCTCCGGCATTCATCCTGCAGTTCTCATCAGTTGTTTTTGTAGGAAGCAACATATCGATGCATTGTCTGCATAGTGTTGGATGAGATAAAACAGCGAAACTCAATCCTCAGAGGTGTTGTACCAAGTTTTTCCAAGAAGTCAAGAGACGATCATAACCTCTACTACTGCTCGCGTGCTTCATTCTCCAACATCCGAGCACTTCAGTGCGATGCGAGTATGCCCCGCACGTTTCTCACAGGTGACCTTACCAGGCGTGGTTCATGTACTATATGGTTAAGAGTCCTAAACCTAACAATATACAGTAATATTAGTGACCCAAGTGCTGTATGGTGTTATAGATGAGGCGGATGCTGATCCGAGAGCACTTGTGCCAACAATATTAGTGAAAGGAAGAAGGCCTTCACTGCGGAGTTATTTATTCGGAAATGCCAACTGACCGGTTACAGACCATTGAACAGGGAAGCAAAACTCTAATCTGCATCTTAGTTACAAAAACTGAACACAGATCTTCTCCCGAACGAGTCTTCCTGGAGATTCATTGACTCCAACCATTTACAAAGTGTCTCTGGGAATACCTCAACAGAATTCCCTTTTTCAATCGACGTAAAGCGAAATTCTACGAACAATACATACTACTCGCGTGCCTCCCCATCAGTAGTATCACCGTTACACACCTCCACCCCTTAAAGCTCGTTCGCATGCCACCGATTTTCATTTACCTCCGTCAGGTCGGCTTCGGCAGCGGGGCTACTAGGCCGCTGTTCGGGTGTATCATGCCACTTGCGAAGCTGTGTCCCATTCACAACTTTCGATCCCCGACCATCTTGAATGGTATAGACGTTCCCCCGGCGGTCAGTGACGACATTTGGCCGAACTTGGCAAATCACCTTCGGAAGTTTTGTCAGCAGTCACGCGCGCACTGATGATTTCCAAACAGTTGATCAAGAAACATTAGCAGGTAAATTTCCAAGAACGGCGAACAGGTCAGCAGTCACGTGGTGTACAAAATCAAACTGTAACAACTTGCTTACATGCTCCTGCTAGAGTTTTCAGTGACCACGCAGAATAAATTTCCTCAACACAAGCCAGATGACTTTCGCGGGTGACGTAAAAACCTAGGTAACCCCAACTGAAATCCAAGTGTTGCCCAGTTGAAAAAACTTTTTATGAAGGAATGAACCCCAGACAGAAAGCAATAAAGTGGTTTTCTAGGGTCCCCGTGAAAAATCAGTGGTGAAAACATGGGAGAGTTTCGTGAAATCGTTGGAGACAAATGAGTGAATTTGTGCAGTTTTATAGACGGACAAGTGTGTGCGTGTGAAAAATGGAGGAGCGATTTTGGGGTGGAGAAAATGGCTTGTTTCGAATCATCCCTGATTCTTCCTGGATAGAAGATACGATTAGGTCTGTTAATCTGTAGAAAACTTTGTATATTCTACACCGTTTCACCTCCATTCTTCCAGGACGTTCCTGTGAAAAACATAGCTACCGCTTGATCAACCGTTTTATCATTCCTCACAAGCGTTTGAAAACGTTTTTAAGCCGGGCAGGTCGAACTAGAACGTTACCGGTAGCCATGTTTCCAAACGTTGGTTGAGAAACGTCCGGTGCAGACCAAATGATGTATACAGTTGTCCCAGGCGGTGTGCCATGAGACTATCGGCGGGGCACAGTGACTAGGAGAGTTGGCCAAGTTCAAAGTGTTTCAAATTAAAAGTTATTCTAAACACTGAAAAAAAGAACTAATTCAAAGTAGTGTAGTGTTCTGAGCTTTCAACCTGTTGATAAAATCGAGTTTCTCAAAACAAATCCTCTTTGTTTTTGTGAGTTTATCTCACATTCTCGTGAGTTTTTTCTTCGTGACCGCGCCTAATGAATCCCTTTGATAAATGCTTCCGATTGTCATTCAACTTGTTTTCATCCTGAGACCAGCAAGCCACTTTGTCACCTCTGCGAGGTTTTTATATTTTGAATGAACAGAAACTACCCAGAGAAGCACAGGTACGTCATCATCATCAACATCATCATCATCATCATCACTGATAGCAACATCACTTGAGATTACTGCTACTCCACTGTTTTACGACCATGTCAAAGTATTTGACATGAAAGCAATGGAGTAGGGAGGGGAGCCTCCTGACTCGCCTACAAGAAACACTCGAAGTGTCTACACTTCCAGCACCCAGTCAGACAGTCAGGATGGTAACTGACATCATGAACTCCTCTGACACCATTTATCCCCCAGATCGTTTACCATCTCCACTCAAGTACAATGAGGTTCACCTGGATCCTAGAAGGTCCAACTGAATGTCATTCTTCATTCGCCTTCGCTAGGGAATACCGATGGAAATCTCCTTAGCATTTCACATGTTAGACAGAATAAACACCGTTTTTCGTTACGATGCAATGAATGTTTTCCACGAATTCGATTACCTTCATAAATGTGTGAAACTAAAGTTTTTGCAAGGTATTTTAGCATATTCAGGGCTTGGTTTCCCAGACTATCCGCGAAAGTCAACAATAATGCTGGATCCGACATCATTCGCTAATATTCAGTTCAAAGTTCTTTGCTTTCAGCAGCGACCCGAAGTGCTCATGACATCAACGTAACTGGTGGACGAAGTCTGATCATAGATGTTAGAAACAATATTGAAAAGCTCAAAGTTTTCGGCCCCAGTAAACAATGTCGTCAACCATGACAAAATGGCTATTAACGTACCCGGTTTTGAGTCTTCACGCACATGAATGAAACCTTGATGTCGACAAGTTCCCTTGGCCGGTGATCGAGAGCGCCGCTCTCCCTTCTTGAGATCCACACTTCTTGCATGATCCCCTGCTGCGTGAAGGCTTTCACGTAGGCAGCCGGCTAGATACTCCATAATATTTGCTCTGGAAGTGTAAACCTCCTTTTCTACGGCATGCAACGCATGGTACGGGACTTTGGTGAGCCGAAGATCCTCCTGATAATTGTTGTAGGTCGCATCAACCACATTCCCTTGAAAGAATTTTTTCAAGGTTAGCGAAATCAACCGGTAACTTTGCAAGGTAAAGTGCATTTGTCTTTGAAGGGAAATTCGTCAACTAACAGCTCTATAACATCTGACACAAAAGATTCCTCTTGGAACAGAAGAGAAACCTCTCGTCTCTAGTTTTCTTTTATTCTCCGGATTCTGCCTAATCACAGTGGAGTGAACAAATAACGAAATGAATAATCTCATAAAGATAACTAGTCTTCGACAGCCCACAACTGGTTTCGCCCTTCTTGGGGTTCACAGGTAGGGGTCGTGCTTTCTTTGGGCGGCATTACAGCAAGCCACCGAAAAGATTCAGCAAATAAACGATTATCCATCTTCGAGAAAGACACTCATTAGCAAATCAATCAGGTTTTCACGAGAGACTCAACTGAATCTCTTGTTTATGATATTCTACAACTGAATGTGCTGCACACATGTCACTGCAGCAAACTTGTGAGTAGTTTCCTTTATGAAAATATGCTGCGATATCTGGAATATCGTGCCAACTGAAACATGAGGCGGCCTGTGTGCAGCACATTCAGTTGTAGAATATCATAAACAAGAGATTCAGTTGAGTCTCTCGTGAAAACCTGATTGATTTGCTAATGAGTGTCTTTCTCGAAGATGGATAATCGTTTATTTGCTGAATCTTTTCGGTGGCTTGCTGTAATGCCGCCCAAAGAAAGCACGACGGCTGATATACTGTCAGACTACCCAAGCCCAGACATAAACAGTCGAGATGCCGAAGTTGGTTTCCAATCAAGGACATTCCGTTCACAGAGCTCGCTCCTTAACCACACTCTTGCGTTGTACTTAAGGCTTGGAATCGCATCTGCATGGCACTATTTGAGTGGTTTCTATTTTTGGACAGACCACCTAACCCAGACTGACCTAAAGGGATACAAAACTTCGATGGGACTCTCAACAGATCGAGTGAAAACAACAGCCTTTCGAGATGGACTTTTGCAGGAGGGCCACAAGAGGTGACCAACACTCAACCGTACTTTGGATGCAATATTTCACCTTTCAGATTCTGTAGCTTTGAAAAGATCGCCTCACCGACGTCCACGGTCAGCCACCTAACGGTGATGCCACTATCTTCATGCCCACAAGATGTGCTTCCAGAAACAGATACCAAAGTACATTTTTGTAGTAATCACCGTCCTAGAGAAGGCTAACTTTGAAGGGGCTCAGTTTCGTTTGATATCCCTTGAATCACTTTATCTATTATTCTGGAGTTCATCATATGTCAACTCATGTAATAAACGTGCATCACGGCCGAACACCGACAACAGCGCATTTCATGGGACCACACAAAAGTGACCGAATTAATCACGTTGTGAAAGAAAGATCCTGGCCTAAAATGCTGGTCCCGTGAGTCAAGTCTGTCACGAACAGTTGACTCTATTCACGAATGACTTAATTAGGCTTGACAGAACCCTAAGTTTTACTCACCAAATTTTATTTCGTGAAGTTGGCCCTATGATCATGTGACAGGTTCATGGAGTACCTGAATTCGAAAATAATCTGAGAATCTGCCCGACAGGCAGAATGGACATGAGATTCCCTGGGCCGCTGGGTAAGAACCGAATCGAACCCGGATGTGTTCCCCATAAATCTATGTTTTTGCGGGAAGTGTTCCAACTAATTGATGTCCCCGCTTCGGTACCTTAGTGAAGGAAAAAGACTCACCAACAGGGAAAACTAGAGCTTTATTGCGAACGAGCAAGTGCAAAACGTTATGAGAGATGTTAGTTCAAGCGTAGTTTTAACCTTGATTCAGACTGTCCAATCAGCATTGGGTAAACGCTCATCATCGTCGGCCGCCAATAAACTGATGGACTGAATGAGTGTCCAATCAGAAACTGACTTTTCTGGCTCGTATACTTGATGGCTTTCCTACCGCGATTTTTGTATGATTTGAGGGTCTCAGTAGGTATCGAGCATTCTAAGATTATGAGAACGAAGAAGGTAGCGAACAAAGCTTGTTTTCTGTGATTGTTCATCTTGGCTAATACATCACAAATTTATATGGTAACAGAAATCACGTGGAAAAGGTTAAGATCGGGGCTACACTTTAGAGAAATAGAAGTCAAAGGAGGGGAGTTGGGTGAGGGGTAGGTCAATGGGTCATGACGTCAACGTCAGACAGACTTGTGGGACCAGATGTTTTGTAGGCCAGTTCAAGTTCAGAGGTCGCACAAGTTTCTTTT